GCGTTTTATCGACGATCGTGGTGGTCGTGGTGGTCGTGGTGGTGGTGGTGGTGGTGGTGGAGGTCCGGCAGAGTGGAGAATCCACCGCGCCTCGCGGCAGAGAGCCATTCTCGACGAAGAAAAAGAGCATGAGGAAGGGGAAGGGGGAGGACAGAAACGTATCTGCGTCGAGGGAACACGATTCTTAAACTCGTTCGTGCGGAACAGATATCCGGTCCCGAAATCAGCCTCGTTACGAGATATATGTACACACAAGGGTCGGAAAGAGAGAGAGAGAAAGGAAGACAAAGTGATTCGCGCGAGTACATGCAAAATGGAGGGTTGAAAAGAGGGGAAAAAAAGAGCGAAGAGAAGAGAAGAGGGAGAGAGGTGGAGACAATCGATACGCGGAATTTTCTCAATGAAATTGGAAAGGAACTATTTTATTTCCGGTCGCTCGATCGCTAGCACTCGGTCTTTTCACGGTAAACTACCGAGTACTGAGACGATCGCCCTTCCTTCGAGGGAGGAAAAAAGAAGTATCGAGTGGTGGTGGAAAAAGAGAGAGAGAAAGAGAGAGAGAGGCGATTCTTTTTCGAGAGCAAGCCGTTCCGTATGCAAAAGATAGAACGTGCGCCGCAATCTGAACGAAATCTCGAAACGCAATTTCCTGAACGGCCGACCGAGCGTCGCGCATCGGCCTCTGTCCGCTCTCCTCTCTCTCTCTCTCTCTCTCTCTCGCCGATCGAACCATCCATCTTCGAACCATGAACGCGACTTTAATCACGCATCCATGCATCCCGTCGACCACCACTTTCCGCCACCGGCGTTGTTTCTCTTTCCGTATCGCGTCACAGCCCGATCCTATCTCACCGCGTTATCTCTCGGTTCCATCCGCGTTACATAATGACTACCAAGTACCATTCCGATGTAGCACGGGTATCGAACGTTGTAGCACTCCGAAGCGAGATTAGTCTCTCGAGACAGCTGTGCAATTTGCCACTCGTAAGTCTGAAATCGATATCTCGTCTCTCTCTCTCTCTCTCTCTCTCTGTCTCTCCGTCTCTTTCTCAGCCGACGTCGAATCAACGTCGATCGTTTAAGATGGTCGAATTAGATCGAGATGATATCGAGGCGAGCGTGGAGACGCGGAGCGTCGCGATTCCTCTCCTCCGTCTTATCAAAGTTCATCGACCCGATGTTGTTTCAGTCTCCGAGCCGGCTGGCGGCTTTAAACGGCAGCGTGAGAGGAGCAGCGCGAGATGGTTCATTGAACCAGATCGGTTAATGTGGGTCGTCGTAATTCTAGACCGGGTCTATTTTACGGTTCAAGCTGTCCATCAGATAATTCTGATGAGGCTATTGTTCGGTCAGAGAGAAGATTTCATTCGTTACGTAATATTAAGCTATTCCAACGGATTTCGCTGGATATTCGCATCGAGAGGGACGATCTATTCTGGTCTAATTGCTCTTTGCTCGGTCTCCTCCGGGATGGATGGATGGATGGATCAACGACCCTTTTGATAATAAACTCGACGACATTTCTCTCTCTCTCTCTCTCTCTTCTCCTTCAATAAGAGTCTTTCCGTCTTCTTGATTGCAGGTAAAGGTAATGCTGAAGGTGTCACCGGGGGAAGGTGGAAGTTTCTTCAACGCCGACAAGAGAAAGAAACAGGTGACGTTGGTCGATCCCACGGCTGGGCAATCTTCTTCGGCGGACGATCGCAGGCCGACCGTGGCAGCGCCGAAAATGTTCGCCTTCGACGCGATATTCACCGAGGAGGATTCCCAGGTAAGCTCGTTTCGAGATAATTCGAAAGCGACGATTCTTCTTCCCCTCCTCCTCCTCCTTCGAGTTCCTCGAGCGAAACGTAGAAACGCGGCGATAGAGAGACGCTGTTTTCTCTAGGAGGTGGATTCGTTGGAAAAGCGAAGGAACTAGGATAAATGGCGGAAGACGAGGCGGGATCTTAGGCGAGGGAAACTTTAGAAGAGGGAAGAAGAGAACGGTGGAAAAGAAATCGAAACGTTGAAAACGTCTACGTGCCCCTCGACTCGCGCGTTCATCCTAGAGACGTCCTTGCCGGGCGCATAACTAAACTAATTTCCCGACC